TTCCCTAAATGCTCTGCAAATCATCTCACAAAGACAAGTTTCATAACTATTTGCACAAGATATTTAACAAATCTTATTAGAATGTCATCATGTTAGATTTTGTTTTTATTGTATTTATCTGACAGTGTGAACTTAGCTCTTGATGTCCTTACATACTTTTTACTCAGGCAAACTTCCAACAACTTGTCCATTTTTTTTTATGAAGTATTTCAGAATTTGGCCCCTAGGCTTTTCCTGTTTTGGACAGTTTATTTCTTAAGTTTACAGTGCAGGACACATGTTTCTCCATCATCTCCTTGTGCAACACAAAATGTCTTGCTTAAAAGAAGCTTAGAGCTAAAACTTCACTGCTACACTGTTAATATCTTCACTGATTTGAAATGAACCCTGGATTACACAGGAATAAAAACAACTCTGACCTACAAAACACTGTTTTATCTTACAAAAGCAAATGTATTACTTGTAACATTGTTTATACTCCTGTATTATTTGCTGAGACTTTTCTGACAAGGAATCAAACCCAAAAACATAAATGTACAGATCAGGGCCACCACCTTGTAATCCCATAATGCCTAAATCCAGATACCAAATGGACTTAAACAGAGGTGTAGAGGTAACAAGGAAAACTCAATCTAAAATAAATATAAATAAAAATAATAATAAAAAAAATCAAACCAAACCAAGAACTTTAAAGGTAGAAAATCTCTGAATAAGTAATAGCTCTCAGTCATTTACATGCAGTATATCACTTGTAATGTACATTCAGAAATCTCTTCCAAGTAATTCTTCTACCTATTCTGAGATGATTAATGGATTTAAGAGTTTCTCTGCCTGGGATTCAGTAATAATTACTTTATGAAATTTTAATTTGGGTACTAATCAGGTAAAGTATTCTTCCTCAATAATACATACTTGGATTTGAGTGGATCTGAATATCTGCATATGCAAAACTTATCTTGTCCTAAAAACTCAGCTTTGACATGTAAAAAAATGCACATATACCACCCCCCTAATATGGTACATGCCATAAGTGACATAGCAAGAATTTGATCATGCGTTTCTATAACAAGAGAATTCAAGACACTCTGGAGTTTTTCTTTTCTTCCTCATACAGAACTGTATGTGGAAGGAAAGGAGGAAAGATGTGGCACTACAAATCCTCTTGATGTGATCTGCTTTATATTAACCATCTGCACAAAGAGATGGAGAACCAGAAAATGAGATAACTTCTTGGATGTTTTTTTTTTTACCAGACCCTTCCAGGTTCTACTTCAGGGGATTTAAAAGCAAGTCTGAAGTAGGGGAGGTTGGAGTACATTGTAATATAGGACAAAATTTCTCCTTTCAAAGAATGTTTCAAACCTCTTATTGCAGGTAGCTGATCACTGCTTACCCGCTGCCAGAACCAGGATATAGACTCTGAATGAAGATCCAAAACTCTTTGGAAGATCTGAAGAATCTCAAGACTGAGATCTTTGCTGTGGTTTCTTTATTTTTATTTTTTGTTTTATATGTGCAACTTCCAAACCATCTGCCTCTTCTATCCATAAAGCAACTAATCAGCCAACATGCACAGTACATCTTACATAGACACAAAGCTCAACAAGTGTTTATGCAAGCCACTTGTGTCTAAGCATCAATAGGAGTAACTTGAGATATGTGTCAATTAAAAAAAAAATCTTTAAAGGAAATTCAGGATATTCAGATTTCATGTCCAAGTGGAAACAAGGGCATGACAGCAGCTAGTGACACCTAAAACCATCAAAACTTTGAAATAACAGATTATTCAATCCAGTATTTATAGATTATTGTTGCAAAGCAAAAGTTTCACCAAACCTCAGATTTGAGCCTTCTCCAAATTTCGAAGAATTCACCTCATAGTTCTGCCCTTATTTCAAGGTCTATTACAGTTCTACGTGAAGTGATGTATTTTTTTCCTACCTTCCTTTGCCACAAGAAAATCAACACTACTGAAATAACAAGGTCACCAAGCTTTGTGATCTGCTGGGAGTAGACACCAGTCTACTCTAAACTGCAGCTTGTGAGAGTTTGTGCATTGACTCCGTAGTAGATTCAGCAGAGGTTGCATGAGAGAACCTAGGACACCTTCTGAAGCACTTAACATCTGCAAAACACAAGGCTGTTTCCATGAGGCTTACTACCAATCGCTGCATGCTAATATGTAAGAAATTCCAAAAACACAGTAGAAAAAGTGACTCCTATTGTAAGACACTAATATATATTCTAAACAGGAATCTACTCCTGAAGCTACTCATTAGAAAATTTAAAAAAAAAAAAAAAAAAAGGAAGCATGGAGTCATAAATAGTCAGTACTATGGATTCATGCTGCTACAAATAACCACTAACACATTTAAGTGTCTGGAAAGAGAGGGAACTCAGTACCAGCAGGAAAACATAAGATGGAGAAAAACTCAACGCTACCGTAAACTGCAAGCCTTAGTCTCTTCTTGTTCATACGGGTTAAAATGAAGAGCAAACAGAATAAAGTCAAAGGAAACAAACACTTTCTATTGATAGAAATTGTATGTATAGAAATTGGTAAAAAAAGTATCATAAAACATGTTAAAAGAAAACTTTTTGTTAAAGTGAAATCAAAGACAGTGGAACAATGAAGACACTATGAAGTGAGTAACCCATTATGCACTACCTAGAACTGTCCAGCAGGTCACCTACAGGAATCCCAGATGTTACGCCATCTCTTCATTACCTTTCCCACACTTTCCAATAGGTGACAGAGACCAGGAGTCATACTAGTATAAGTATAAAGTCACTAGTGAGTAAAAACCAATAGAAGAACACTTCAAAAATGAAGTTTAAAAAAAAGCCAGTTTTCACAATGATTATGAGAGAAAACTGAGATCTCCAAGTGTCTGAACTTCAGAATGTACAAGTGACACCATCAGACGGTTGAGGGAAGTTATCCTTCTTGATTCAACACTGCTGAAACCATGCTTTGGTTTCCTCTGCTTTCCATGGTTTGGTTTCCAAACCATGCTTTGGACCTGTGTCCAGTGTTGGGTTCCTCACTACAAGAGACATGGACATAGTGGATAGAGTCCAATCAAGAAGACGATGAACGGACTGGAATATGTCTCCTATGAAGACAGGCTGAGAGAGCTGGGACTGTTCAGATTGGAGAACAGAATGCTCAAGGGTATCTTATCAGTGATATAAATACCTGAAGGGAGCTTGCAAAGAGAATAAAGTCTCCTAATGTGCCCTTGGTCACAATTAAGAGCTCCCTCAGGCTCAAAGTGAAACATGTGGGAGCTTTCTCATAGTGCAGTCGGAGTGGGTTCAGGCCTTTACACAGCCTCCCTGTGTGTTCCTCCACCCTAGTGTTATGTAAGAAACTGAGCTAAACTGTAAATATTACACAACCTTGAAAAGGGAAGGGACTAGTAAAATATCTGCACATATCTTTCACACTGACTCACCCCTTCGTTTCCACTTTTGCTTCTTGTCCTCAGTTAAAAGTATAACGATGTGCCTGAACTGGTCACTTTTTTTCTTTCAAACATTCTCCAGGCACAGTGAGATATTTCATCAGCATGAACAGGACATCTTATAGTGCCTAGGGAAAGACTTTTTAGCGCAGACTCTTGCATTAGGACATGGGGTAATGGTTTTAAACTAAAAGAGGGGAGATTTAGACCAGAGATAAGGAAGAAATGTTGCCCAGGGAAGTGGTAGTGGTAGATGCCCCATCTCTGGAAACATTCAAGGATGAGTTGGATGGGGCTCTGAGCAACCTGATCTAGTTGAAGAATTTCCTGCCTATTGCAGAGGGAGTTTGACTAGGTGGCCTTTAAAGGTCCTTTCCAACCCAAAGTACTCTTTATGATTCTAAGCAGGACAACAGCGCCAGGAAGAACACTGCAGTCTTCCCTCAGCTGTGCTACAGTCATTGTTGCACTGCACTTCCAGTGCCCAAAGCCTCACATACACTCCTCCTGCTGTTCTTGCTGTGGATCAAAGTCCCATGCTCCTAAACCAAGGTAGAAAAATTACCCAGGGATTATCATTATCCAACAAAAGAAACAGCAGTAGTGGTTATGCTCTTTGAATTCTGGGTAGCAATAAAACATTCCAGTTGTTCCACAACACTAGGTATAACTCATTGGGGATGAAGTATCAGTTATCAGTCCAAAGAAAAGAATCAAATGTGAATGTTTATCTCAATGGTCTTCTTGAAAAAGAACATCCAATTCAGAAAATCTGAAAGCCTCTATTCCCTTTGGAAGGAAAAGGCTGTCACTAATATTCTGTTCTAAAAACTCTCCTTTTGTAACAACATAGTCAGTCAGTGCAGTGATTTTCTAGCAGCACCTACCAGGTCTCTGCACTGTGTGCTCCTGAAGAACTTCAGGTACATTTATATACAATTTCATTTTATTCCTGTCTATCTCCAGAGGCCCCATTCCCATTCTAGACCAATCGAGCAGAGTAAGTAATAATCCAAATATTGTATGACTTTACTGTTATATCACTAAGTCATCAATATACCTCAATACAAAATAAAACAGAAAATAAGTTTAGAAACTTGTTTTTTAAACTTGATGTTTTTTCTAATTTTGGAAAAGGCATTCACAGAAATAGCTTCTCATTGAAGAGGAAAGATGACAAAGTTCATTACAATTTGTGCTCATTCTTCATTAAGGTCTACAAATAAGGTTAAAACTTCTTTTATGAAACAATCATCAACATCACATAGATTTTATTCATCTATTTATTATTGGTTTTCACTTGTAGAAGACTTTGAAAAAAGTTCCCATTATCACTTTCTCAACTGTGGAGAAAATTAAATATGTATCAAGTACTGTCATACATAATAATCATGCCATTTCACATTCATTGGTACCCTCATAAATGAAACATAAGCTCTTCTGGAGAGAATTTTCACCTTGAAAGAAATAAAGACCATTTGCTTACCAAATACTATTAAAAGGGAAACTATAGAAAAGAGCAGTATTTCTTACCATTGTAAGGGTGAATGGATGGCTTTCCAGGGCAGACACTCTTGGACAGTGTAGAATGACATACTGAAATAAAATGGCAGAAAAGATCCTTTCAGAACATTTAGTGATGGGCTAGTGTTTACAAATTGATAGTCATCCCCATAGACAATGCTCCAAGAAAGCAGTGGTTTTTTTAGGGGCGTATTAACTCACCTGACCAGGCCTTGCTTCAAAGTCATCTTTCACCATCCTTACTTCAAGGACGTTGGAGGGATGGCTTATTACCGAAGTTATGGTGACTGGTTTATTGCTGCGGATGTAGCGGTATAGCCTTTCCACACAGTACAAGCACAGAGGTCCAGAAATCCAAAACCAGGTCTATGGGAGAACAAAAATAGGTCACCTCAAGGACTTTTAACTACATGAGTGCTTGCAGGACCTCATTTCACATCTAACCTCCAAATCTCTCTCCATGCAAAAATTCCAATGTGTTCTGAAGCCTTAATCAGTCTAACCAGAAGCATCATCTACAAGCACACGGAATTTCAATCCTAAAACTCATCAGGAATAAAATGCTAATGACCTCAATTGCTACCATGTTATTCTAGTTTTATGTCGTTAGATTGCAAGTGGTTTCAGCAGCAAAGACACAGTACATACATGGTTTCAAAATGTAACAGACCGGAGTTCTGTATAATTGTTTACATTAAGGAAAAACACAGTCTGTCTTGCAATATTCCTTGACTATTACCTTCCATAATCATCTCAAGTAAAAACCAAAGAAAGATTCATTTTTGTTCCATAGAATTTATGTTTGTATTAAACAAGTGTAAAATCATAGACAGAGAGAAATGGGCACTTTTGAATCACAATTCATTCGCCCTCATGGAAGATATGTATGCTTGACAGAAAATGTCCTGGAAACGCCCATTTCTCTGCAGCAATTATACAGAGAGCCCTGGGTGACTACTCCAGATGGAGACATGTGCAGCTGCTCAGCTAAATCTCATCCTAAGAGTCAATTACCAATAGCTTATGGCAGACTTAACTATTAATTCTACATCTGCTCAGTCACTCAAGCTATGGCATTGAAGTGCCCTTGATCCTCATTCATCTTTACTGCCCAATTTTTGAAGTTACGTATCAGACTGTCTTGCGACTAGTAGATTGCAACTAGCAAAAAAGCCTTAAAAGTTTTAGTAGCTCAGAGAACCTTTTTTTTTTTTTTTTTTTAATCTTGGTATCACAACACTTCTAAACCCAAAAAAGTCCTAAATAGTTTTACAAAGCTTCCAGGAGAACACTGAGTGGCCATCTCCTTCCATGACTCTTTACCCATAAATGGCTCCAAAGCAGGCATCTTAAGTCCCTAAGACTCTTTACTGTCCTGTGGGTCATATGGAGCCAGATATACATTGATGCTTGTAATTCAGGAGTATCACCACAACAAAATACCAATCCAAAGAACTTTGTTGGAGGAATTCAATGTAGAATTAACTATTTCTTATTATGATTACATGCTCCAGTACAGCTCCTAAGAGACATAACTGTTCAAGAGAAAAAAAAGGATAATAATAAAGAGAAACTCCTGTGAGGTCTGTTAAAGGGACCATTATGAATGGTGGGCCTTGGACTTGTGAACTCCATATTCACAAGCTTCCTCAGGCTACTTATAATACAGCCCAAATGATCTTTTCTCAGAAGAAAAGAGAAAATTTGGATGAAGAAAAAGCTGCTTCCACAAAACATAAAGAAACAAAAGGAAAATGGAAAAACAGAAAAAGGCTTTTCTGTGCCTGCTGTCATCATACTCATTTACCCATGCCACACATAAAACAAGCCTGTCTGCAAACAACAGGCCATAAAAGCCACACCGCAACCAACTTCAAATCAGAAATGAGTATTAGGGCTTGCATCTGCATGGTAAAAAAGAGAACAAATGGAGCTTGATTATTTCAACTAACTACTGTCACACAATGTTTACAAAAGGGACCTTATGAAATGTTATATAAATGTTTGCTCTGAAGTGCTACGCTGTAATTTTAAAGTCCCTTTTATAGCAGGACCAATACATCTCTTATTATGTCGTACAAAAATAACATTACAGCTGATCTCTTGACATTTTTTCACCCTCCCTATTCTATGCATCACATTGTAATGCAGTTCAGGGTTTAATACAGATTGTTTTTTCCCCATTGAATCTTTGAATGCCTCAAAAGGTTTTAATAATATTTTCCATCATTAAAACATCTGGTCTGGAAAAGCAATAATTAGTGGTTATGGCTGACTGAAAGACTTGGCAAGGCTTCTAATACCTGAAATGTCGGATCATACAGACCTCTGGGAAGTGTGACTGGAACTTGGGTTCCTCGGAACAAATTCTCATAAAGTGATTTTGTACAAAAGGTTCCGGTACTGGTAAGTCCTCTGGGAAAGGCTCAGTAGTATAGTCAGGAAACAGCTCTTCAAAAGCCTTTGGCTCAGTCAGATTCTGTCGGGACGTTTTGTTAGGATTAAAGCAACCAGGAGGGTGTTCCTGTAAGTTGGTCTGGTACTTGAGCACTCCCCTATGGGAAAAAAAGAATAGTAAAGACACTGAAGTAAGAAACAAACAGCTTATCTTAATTCAGAGAGGCCTCATCTTCTGTTAGAGTTTTTATTCCATTTGTTTGCAGGACTTTCAATGAGATTGAAGATTTGCAACAATAGAGCCTCCTGTCACTAGAGGCAAAGTTTATCTTTTCCAGTGCACTTGGCACTCCCATACTGAACAGCCTCAAGCTTAACACTGCTTGAAAGGGGGAAAACATTGTGGGAACTTTGCAAAAAAATAAGTAATCACATTTCCAGTTCAATCTCACATTGGCTGGCTGTTTTCACTCATCCTCCCCACAGCCAGCAAGCCTTGTTTTTAAGGCAGTCTTATAGCAGAAGCGGTTTATGTTGCCAAATCATAAACTGCAGGAATGTTCCTACTACTTGGTGTTTATCAGGTTTGCACACAATCCTACAGTTTTCTCCTTTGGACATAATCTTGTCAGATAAAGCGGAAAAAGGAAGTCCTGCATGATAGCCAAGGAACCTTCCTTGCAAACTATTTTGTGGGTTAGATGTTTTGGGTTTTGTTTTTAAGCTAAGCTAAATTTATAGTAAAATGAAGTAAGAATTTTGCAGCTGCAGCTAGAAACTCTGAAGAAAGAATTGGAAACCTGAGACACTCTGGGATATCTCAACACATGAATGAATCATTGGAAACAGGGAAGAAAAGACAACAGTAAAAGTAAAATTCCTCAGAAGTACTACTTGCCTCCAAATCTGGATTTGATGATAGTAAATCCATAAGCAGGAATAATAATAAGACATCAACTAAATGAAAGGTTGAATGACACCTCAACAGGATGGTGCTGGGTGGTATACTGAGGCAATGTCTGGCGAGACATGCCCACTGAGTACTAGGCTCATTTTAAGTATGCAATCAAACATAAGGACATAGACTCCCTCCTCCTCTCCTCATCACACAGCAGCAGCAGTAATAGAATTTAATTCACAAGAAGAGAGAGAACTAGGACATCTGCAATATTCCCAACTTAAATGGGCTCTGACAAGCTATTGGCAATCTTCCCTACCAAAACGCAATCCTGACAGCCAGTAACAAGCTTCCCACATGGTCCAGTGAACAATGTCGGCTTGGACGTTAAACCTCCCCACTCTAAATTCCACATCTGACCCCAGGAGAATCATTTGGGAAGTGTCCTTGCACCTACACCCATGCTTCTGCCTGCATTTACTGCTTGATCATGCCTATCGCTTGCATCTGCCATCACTGCTGGTCATCACATATTTGCAAAGTGACAGATACCACTGGCATTACACTAGTTCCCTGCTTCATAAATATTATGGTGCCTCACGGATTTAGTTGGAAGTCAAAGCCTGTGCAATATTTTTGCAGTCAACCTTGTGTGCAAGCCTGTCAGCAGCTCCCACAGCTTCTATGTTCTCAGAACATCCAAAACAGGATTTCCTTGAGACATGAATAGCTGCAAACACGAGCATCCCTTCCAGTGATCTCTAGTTTGGTCAAACTATTACAAACATGTTGAGTGGCAAACAGTGATGACAAAGCTGCCTGTTAACAGCAGCTGCAACTACTCTAATTTCTGAATTTGTCAAGGAAAGGCAAGTCTTACACACCCAAGATCACTTCCCAGAAAGTTTGAGTTCTGCACAATTCTTAAGAAACCCAAGATGTATCCTCATGTATTTATTAGACGCAACACTTGAATATATAAAAACTCAGTATGGATGTCCAGAAGTAGGAGATACCCCTTTTTGTTTGCTAAAGATGTCTGAGACAAAATGAGACATTAATGTAAAAATGTGCTACAGGCTGAGCAGCACAGTATGAAGAATCTGCAAGGCCATACCTCAACCTCTGCTCCAATTTTCCATGCCCAAAATAGAGACAAAATTCACTTCTGGATAGAGCTGGAAAATACATATCACTATTTCTTAAGATTTTAAAGCTTATAAACTAGACATCAATGATTCTAAGTGTTTTTATAGGGAACTGCACAGCTCCTATCTCCTCATCCAACTTCTGCTGCTCAGCTCAAGGTAAGTTACTTGAAGGGTCTGTTAAAGGTCAGTGTGTGGGTGGACTCATAAGAATTTTCACCCTTTGGAAGAAAAGTCTTTGAATAACTCTAGTGAGAGCATGAAGGCCTTATTCTCAGCTTCTATGGACCACAGTAATACCACAGTAACACCAAATTTGGATCAGATGGGAATCTGGCTCCAAAGGTTTTGTATGTTTTACAGTTCCTTACACTGGTACTAGAAACACCAAGCTTCTGCTTTACATAAATCAATTTTTGTTGCTGCTACTACTGATGTAAAAGACAGATAAATGAATGTAGATATGCACCAAGTCTTAAGTCACTAAAACCTTTCAGAGTCATGTCGCAAGAAGCATCCACAACAATTCGAAACAAAACAAGAATCCAGCAATATTGTGGAAATACTTTACTCCTAAGACAGGCAAAACCTCACTCAAACTGTCTACACAGTTCAGCCACAGAAGATGCCTTGTTCTGTAAAATAACTGGCCATGAGTCTGCAGCTCTCTAAGACATGCCACACAGGAGTAATTTGGGTGCGGATATCTAGGCTTCCTTCTTTCTTAGAAGAGATCATTGAATTATTCAGGTTAGGAAAGACTTTTAAGATCACTGAGTCCAACCATTAACCCACCACTGCTGTGTTCATCATCAAACCATGTTCCTAAGCACCACATCTGAAAGTCTTTCATATACCTCCAGGGCTGGTGACTTCACTACTTCCCTAGGTAGCCTGTTCTAAAGCATCTTCTTTTGGCAAAGAAAATTTTCCTAACATCCAGTCCAAATCACTCCTCATACAACTTGTGGCCACTTTCTCTTGATCTTAGCACTATCACTAATGGAGTCTAGAAATCAATCCAGGTCACTTGAATGCACATCTTTGTAACAGAAATTTGGGTTCCGTTGACTGTATTACTAGAACTCAATAAACTATAATGGGAGAAAGACACTTAGAAAACATGGAGAGACCCACATTTAGGCATCTTAAACTTGAACTGACTCCCACTCTCCATGACTCATTCCCCTCCAATTTTTAACTGACACTCAGTTCTTTTAGATTTGCATTGAATGCCTCTGTAATTCAATACTAAGGAGGCTGTGTACCAGAAGATGTCTGTTCAATGCTTGGTGTATTACTGCAGCCTTGGTCTGCAAACCTGGTAAAAGGAGCATAGTTAGGAATACAATGGGCAAAGGATAATGCAGTGAAGGAGATTAATTAAACTGGACATGAAAAATATCCCAAAGGCAATAACTGGAACAGATTGCCTACGGAGATTAGAGTATCTCAGTCACCAGATGTTCTAAAGAAGTCAGAAAAACACCTGTCAAGAATAATTTAGAAAAAGTCCATTCTGCCCCAGGATGAAGAGAACACATTATATCTATCTTCTCCCAGCAATGAAAAGAGTTATGCCCCAGAAAAAAGAAACAGAACCCCCCCAAACAAACAGAAACAAACACACAGAAAAAAGAAAAAACAAACAAACCCATGCAAAAACAAAACCAAAACCAACAACAACAAAAACCAACAAAAAACATACACAATCAAAAAAAAAAAAAAAAAAAAAAAAAAAAAAAAAAAAAAAAAAAAAAAAAAAAAAAAAAAAAAAAAAAAAAAAAAAAAAAAAAAAAAAAAAAAAAAAAAAAAAAAAAAAAAAAAAAAAAAAAAAAAAAAAAAAAACACCCAAACTCACAGAGTACTGGAATTGCATCCAGGAGTTTCAATTATTTTGAACTCATTATTTCAATTCACCAGATCTCAGGCTGCATGTTTCTGTTCAACAACATATTCCTCCCATGATCTTGCTAGACTTCTCCATGTTTACTTTAAGCAGTGGTGCTCAGTGTCACACATTAAAGCACCCTGTGTTTCAGTAGATATTTGATGACATGCAGAAATATACCTCATTTAAATACACCTTCCCTTCTTTATACCAATCTCTGCATCTACATCCACAGAGGAAATTTCACAGACATTAATGGCCCAGATTTTCATAGAATCATAAAATAGTTAGGGTTGGAAAGGACCTCTAAGGGTCATCTAGTTCAATCCTCAACCGATGCAGACATATATCGTAACTTGTGGAAGCTGCTTTACCTCACAATAGAGATGGGCTTGTTTGTGCCTGATACAGTCTTGACCATCAGCACGTAAACACTGGTCTGATGTTTTTGAAAACAAGAAGAAAAACTAGCAAATGGAAGGTAGGGAGGAAAATGCAAGGGATGAGCAACTTCACTTTCTTGTCTCAGTTAAAAGGTAAAAGGAGGCAGAGAAAGAAACTATATTCTCTTGATTTCTCACTAGACACTGGTAAAATGGACTGGTAAAAAGGAATAATATTGAAAGTGAAGAAGTTTGTGCTAGTTGGCTGTAGCACATACAATTCTTCAAGCTACAATCTGATCCTTATTTAAATGAACGCCTGTTGAAAAACCATAGAGGACAGCAAATTTGGCCTAAAGTTGGCCCATTGTGCACAAGCAAGCTCAGGAAAGGCAGCAATCAAGAAAACTCCTCTTTTTGGTTGTGCTTCAGGAAAAGAGACAGTGTTTTCCATTTACTTACCCAGAAACATGCAGCATCAGCAGCATATAGAAGACAAAGAAAAGGTTGTGTGTATACCAGAAGATGTCATAGTTTGAAACCCTGAAAAGAATAAACCACAGTTCAATGCTGTTTCAACTTAGATGGAATCGCTGCTAATTAAAAACAGACCTGTGTACACAGGACATCATTATACACTACATAGTCATGTAGAAGAGTCAAAGCCCAGCATGTTTTCCTACAGGTACACTGTACTTGCACGCAATTAAGTGTTAAGTGACAAGTGGCTGGCACAGAAGTAAAAAGCTGACAAGGAGAGATAGGGATGTAGAAGCACAGAGACAGTTGAAGAACTCTTCTGAAATTAGGAGACTTCACTGCTTTTTCATAGGTTCTAGTTAGTATCTCTGAGACCCTCAGAGCTAGAATAGTTCCTCCATCTGCATTTTCAAAACTCAACCCCTTTACAGTGAGCATCACCTTGCATTCTGCCTACCCCAATACAATTTAATGTTTCTCTAAGGCTATAACACACAAACAGGTAGCACAGACAGCAGCAACAGGGCTAGTGAGAAGGGTAAAAAACTTGTGAGGGTATAGAGTGTGAGGAGATACAGGAGTAACAGAAACCACAGCAAGAAGGCAACAAAAACAAAAGTAATAGAATTTTCAGGACAGGAGGCCACATAAGTATGGCTCTAGGATTGATAGTCCTGCGAGGGACAAGAAGAACATTACCACTGTGAGAGTGGGAGATGTGAAAGGAAAAGCGCACTTCTTTTCATCAGTAGTTTGTTAGGAAAAATAAAAAGAACCAAGACCAAAGAAAATACTCATCTGGAACTGTTTACTGTTAAGCTTGTTTGATTTTTGCTTGAGTAAAATAGTTACCAACAAACAACAACAACTAAATGGTTAAGAAAATACCCTACTTCACAGCACACAAACACACCTTTCACACTACACAGCATGGTAGGAGAATCCCTTCCAGAACCAAAACCTGCTCCCATTCATAAGCCAAACCAATTATTAAATAAAAAACAACCTAAACTCTGAGAATATCGTTTGAAAAGCTATTCCTTTGACACAGTTAAATTAATTCTTTTCAGAATTTTTTCCCCTCTTCTATATAACCAGCTAACTACCCTCACTTCAATACAATTGACACATATACTGCATTTGTGTCTGTGCATACAGGACTTATTTGTTTTCTTTTTCAAGGAAAAAAAAAAATTGGTAATCTAAGGGTTACCAAAATAAAATCCAAGCAAGTGAAGGAACAAGGAAGGAACAAAGGAAGCAAAGTGAGGTATCCAGCAACAGCAAGGGGCTCTGAAATCTCCCTTCCACCCTGTCATCCTTCCCCCAGTCAGCACTATGTAAACGCTTTTTCCTCCTTGAAGTTGCTCAAACCATTTCTAGCTCTTCACACCCTGGTAGGCATATCCATGTAGTCACTCATCATATCTGTAAGAAGTTATGGGAGTAAACATCAGTAAGAGGAAAATAAATGATGGTATAGGGAGTGGAAACACAATTGGAAGGTACAAATAGTAACATTTACCCTCAGTCCTGAAACAGGTCATAGAATCCTAGAATGACTTGAGTTAGAAGAGACCTTAAAGATCACTTAGTTCCTTGCCCCATGCTATGGGCAGGGACAAGGATGGGTCTTGGAGCTCTGGTTTAAATTCATACCAAAAGCTGGACACTGAATTAAATTTTTATTGCAACTTGAGCACCTTTTTCAGAACACACCAATTTTTCAAAAAGTCAATTCCTGGACTGCTTCTGATGTATTGCTTTCAAGAGCTAATTATTGCTACTGATTAAAGTTACCATACACTTCTTGTGCATGTCTTGAATACATCTAAATGTCAGCTTCTATCCAGTTAAGGATTTTATTCTTCTTTCAGCACTCCTACAGATAACTGTACTATAAAATCCTGCTCCTCACATGTATAAAATTCCCCAAAATGTAAGCAAGCCCTCTGAACTTTACCTCCTTAAATTAAGGGGATGTAAATCCTTGAACCTCCATGAAACATATTTTCCAACATTACGATAATTATGCATTTCTTGTATCTTTAAACTGTGTATCCTACGGATACATCCAGTATTCTAATAAATTCAATAATCTTTCTATTGATACAGCTTCTGATAGGCAGTGAATATTTACAAATAATTTTCCTAAGACTATACAGTATGCTCAGCCACCATAGGGCACATGAGAATACACAGGGAAAGAGATTAAAAAAGGACACTGAGATGCACTCAGAAGTTTGTTTCCTTAGGAAAACATACTATCAAGACAAGTTTGAGCTCTATGCTTGAGAGAGAAGCCAGGATAAATAAAAATTATTGCTAAAGGAACAGGAGATGCAGATGATCTTTTCACAGCTTTGATTCTGCTGGCTAAACAGAAGAGGGCTGGGAATGCATTTGCACTTACAGTAACTGTGGAAGGAAATAAAAAGCATGTAACTTCAAAAGCTGTTGTAAAATTATTTCCAAGAATATGTTTACTACCATCTATATTTTTCTAAGTTTCCCAATTATTAATACATCATATTCTCTCTTTTTTTTTTTTTTTTTTTTGTTATGGCCTTGAAGAAAATAGGACTTTGTTCTGGCTTACTGCTGCAGAGTGAAGTAATTGCGCTATTTTTCTATCTTCCCAAAACTGCCTTTCTTTTGCAAGTAGAGCCATCTGTATGGACTATGTAGTGTGCAGCCATCCTGACATCTCGTGCAGAAGCCTAATCTTGCACTTCTGTAGCCTGCAATGCCTCACAAACATCTCAACCCTGGAAGTAGCCTTGTCTACTGAAAATGCACAAGTATTTGCTGAACTACTATCCCAAATCACAGGATAACATTGCCAATAACATTTCTACTCAGGAAAGACAGATTAATTCAACAAAGTTCAAAGCCACATATCTAACTCACATCAATGGAGCACCATTAATGTCTGAAGATACATAATTAATATATCCTACCATGTTGGCTGAATTAAGATGATGTATTTACATGAGCAGTCTTTGAATTTAACCACTATAAAAATGAAGGGGTTATTTTTATATATTAACTTGCAGAATTCAAGCCTTAAAAATTCTTGATTTTAAGAATCAAGAAATTTTATCAATATTGTTCTAAATCCTTGGAGGATTTAGAACAACATTGTTCTAAATCCTCCAAGGTACCAATCACTCACAGTTCCTATCGTGTTCAATAATGTTGGTACAGAATGTGAACCCATTGGAGGACTAAACCTTTAGAAATCCCATCAGCTGCTCTGAGCCAACACTGCATTGCTGTTTGGAATGTAATTCACACTAAAGAGAATATATCTAACAACCAGAAGCAGAAATTTAAAAAGCAACATTCTACTTAAGAAGCATAATTTTGTGTCAGTTTGTTTCACTGCAGGGAGTGGGGGGGAGGAGTTCTTGTTACTGTTTTTCTTATAGTTTGTTGTTACAATTAACTAAGATATCATCTTAGTTAATTCCAGAGAACTTAATTTATGCATTGGACAGAACTTTCCATATGCTTAGTTTACAAACAGAAAAAAAAATAGAAAAGGTACTATTTGAATTTTTAAAAGGTCCACATTTTTAACTGAGCACATTCATCAAATAGTATTTTTCTCAGAAGGCAATTCAATCAAGTTTTCTAATTGTTTTAATGTGAAATTCACTGTGCTATTTTTACTGCAAGCTAGGGGAAAATAGGGCAAGAAAATTGGTATTTTTAACACTCTAATCACTAGGAGAGTATGATTACTGAAATGGCATTTTTCAACATAACGATCAGATTACATCTTACCTGATGGCAAACGTGGAAGCTGTACACATTAGGAATAATACTAACACCATAATGACTCCAGTCAGACCTGGAACTAAAAGGGACATAAGAAATTACATTTGAATGGTGAAAAGGTATACTTGTCTACTATAATTTTTTAAGAAAGTGGAATTAGACGTAAAATCATGATTTAATCAAACTCTTGCATGTACTTATCTCTTGAGGACAATTCATGTATCAAATCAGATAAGAAAGAAGAGTTGTTATGTAATTTCCCACCTTCTCAGAAAAAACTACCCTTTCCTTTGTATTTCACCATGCATCACTCATTTTGTATTAGTCTTTGCTGCTGCAATCTTTTGCTCATGACATCTGTCTCCAAGCAGGTAACTAAGATCATGACAATTAAAAATCTGGTCAGGGACAGAATCTCAAGCAAATCAGTTTTTATGCAAGCTGCCACTACAATTGTTTGCCAACCTATTTCATTCTGGCATGAGGAAGAGCCCAAAATTAATCTCCATGGCACTGTATAATGCTTGAAATTGTTGACCATAGAGTAAGGTCTGCGAGAGTGATTTGCAGCCAGTATTTGACAAGGAAAGGTTAAAAATATTAACAATTGGACTCATTTGTTCCAATGCAGACTCTCATCAGGACTAGTTTATCCACACCTCTTTTAAGCCAAAGGAGAGAAGCAACTATTTCTACTGCATGGTATGTTGGACAAAGCTCTCAGGCATACAGTGTGATTCTTGAGGTGTCCTGCACAAGGTCAGGAGTCGGACTCGATGATCCTGATGGGTGCCTTCCAACTCAACATATTCTATGATCCCATCCTAAAGCAGAATCCTGCCCATAAATACAGTAAATCGCCTGTCTAAAGACAGTTACCATTTTTCTGAGCATCTTATCTTCAAAACTGCCATCCTGGGAATTAAGAATATGAATTAAGAATTAGGATCCTAAAATCTATGAAACGGTACATCAGTACCTTTTAATCCTCACAGAATGGTAGTATTTCTGCACAGTTTCTGGTCACCTTAAAAGCCACATGTTTGGGTTTAAACAAAGTCAGTCAAGTCAATCATCAAGCACAAATCTATACAAATGCTGACTTAGTGTCAAAATACAAATATCCCAACCAGCTTTCATGGATGTAAATGGCAAAACCACATACTGTAATGGTCCATGATCTTCTACAGGATCATATCCTAATGACAAAAGCAACCTTATTTTTAATAATTGATTGTGATTTTAGACTCTTTACCAATAGACATCTCAAATCTTATCTTTTTATAAACTTCTCAATACCCACACATTGAAAATCTGATACCCAACATCTGATACATCTCAAATCATTCCTCAATTTTACAAACTTTAGGAAAAATCCCATCCCTACAACCAATGGAACTTTCATCTTGGACTGCATAAAAAACTTAATTTCACTCCTTCACTGAAAGATTACAACTAAAAGCAGTTGCAATAAAAATACATATATATTCTGTCCACTGCCTCCTTCTTCAGTTCTTCTTTCTTAACCTATTTTGATGCGTAGCGTGCAATGAATCTCCCCTCTTACACTAATACTTCCAATGCAATTGCAGTACAGCACTTGATCCAGCTTTCTACACTGTCACTTAAACTACAGGTCACCTTTTACATTGAGCTTTTAATTCTCTTCTCCATCAAACTGAAATCATTCACAATCTTGCCCAAGCTTATCAGGGCATTTTTAGTGTTTCCTCTTTGCCCATATTTCTTTTCCTTCACTAACTATATTCTTGAATACTTGTTCCTCCCACAGTTTGCCTCACACCCTGATACGAGGAGGTTATTTCCTAAACCGATTTGAAAAGCCACCACAGTATAAATCCTTCTGATTCCTTATTCCTTTGTTTGCTGTTCTGAACTTTCTGGGAAGAAACCAGGGTTTTCTTCCATATTTGCAGATGTTCCATTGCAACAAAATCTTGCTGGGGTGATCCTTCAGGGCAAATAATAGGTGATAATTACTAGTTGTTAGGATGTGGAGTGATCTGAATAATTTCAAACTTAAAGATGATTTAGAATCACTGCTTTTTGCAACAATGTCCCCAAATTTTTGAAAGTGCACTACTTTCCTGCATGACAGAGAGTAAAAGGAGTTCCGCCTCTCAACTGGAGAGGTCTCCAAGTATCCCCACAAGCCAGGACAAAATATGATCAGGCCTCTTGCTGCTTCTTTATACTGAGTCCTTCTCCCTTATACATGATATTAAATATAATCCTCAATTGCTTGGTTTGTTTCTCACCCCTCTCATCTTTAACACTCTCCTGCCAGTTACCCTCATTCAAGCCTCCACTACTGATTCACTAATTACACCCTTTACCCAACCTGCTTCCACTTATACCTCAAGTTCTATTATGTCACTCTGTCACTTCCTCAGCTCTCAACTGATCTAAACCTTTCCTAGGGTTTTTGGAAAGCACTCTTGTGCAAGCTGCTAATTCTAGTACATCTTCTGGGGTTGACAAATCTAGAACCCCATCTATTGCTGTCTCTTCAGATTCCTTTGGACCGTGTCCTAAATGCTACAAAGTTGTGTTTGATCTAAATAAGGGTGAAAGTGTGATGGCGTCAGGAAGGATCTTTACCTGCTTGAGAAACATTAGATCTCAGGCTGGTGTCTGCCCCTCCATACCCAAACATTGCTACCTTCTAAATTCCTGCACCAAAAATGTCTTGTCTATTTATTCTTTATGAGTGCTGAAGCCTGATTCCCATGTAACAGTTTACATTGCTCTGAAGCCAAACCAACCCTTAAATTAACCAGCTGAAGCAAGAAGACTGCTCCACTGTTATGGTGTTGGTTTTTTTTTTCCTAGAAATTGGATCATTTAGGAATTTGGTTTTAAAATTATGCAGAATCTCTGTTTGAAACTAATTATTTTCTGCTGACTCATCTGTACAACAACAGCTTTGAAGATGATGCTCAAGCTACTACGGGGCTTTTGTAACTCCTCCCTCCTGACTACTGGATAAGCAAACCCAGGTTATATTAACACAAAGAAATCAAGCTAGCTGAGATACAACAAATGGAGCATGCAAACAGAGAATCAAAAAGTTTTGTCTGAAGAGTAATGATGAGAAGCAGCAAACTTTCTTATTCAGTTTTGCAACAGACTTACCAGTTGCAAAAAGTAGTTTCCTTGGGTCCTGAAACACAGAGAAGCAGAAAAAAAAAATCAACATATGGGATTTTATATCTATACGAATACCATGGTAATAATAAGCAGCTCATAAAGCTCATGTTCATTAAGACATAAGCAACCCCTAAACCTGAATGCAGGAATGAATTTGGTAACAGTTTACACTGACTGTAATTCAACATAAACTAAACCTTTAGCCTTTGCATTTCCCCAGCAAAGACAATTCTGACCTGTTATGAAAAACTGGGATTCAGATAATTTTACAGACAATTATTTTTGAAAGCTTTACTCAATTACCTCATCCCTTTGGGAGGACAAATGGAAGTAGAAGAGGGAGAGAATTTGAATTTAAATGTAAGACAAGAGACAAACATTTTACTGCCAGCTACATCACCAAGAGATTTGCAGGGGACTCTAGTGAAGCAAGACCAAATACAAAGGATCTGACAGATGTTCCTGTGTCCCTCACAACATGTGAAAGGAAGAGAGGATATGTCAGCCTCACAGGAAACTGCCTCACTCCCCCTGAGCCCTATATTTCAGAGGTTTTGTCTTCACTGTGGAGAAAACTTTATTATTGTTATTGTCATTATTATTATTATTATTAAACTTGCAGTAAAATGCAGTGAGGGGAGGTTAGCAGTTTTCATACAGGTCAGGAAAAATGAAGTATCCCTCTCTCTGATCTTGTATGTATCCAGATGTGCATACACATGTAGAGAACATGACAATAGCATCCAGACTGCCCACCATAGTTAAAAATGGTTTTAAGTGGAATTCAAGTACAAAGGTTCAAAAGCTACTAAAGTACCTAAAATCCAAAAAGTTTGGTCCTAAAGTTCCTAAAAACTTATTATCTCCATTTTCTATTGCAAAATTCCTAATACTGCTTAGTAGAGGCTGCCATGCACACCCTGGCATGTTCTTGCCTGAGGCAGGCTCCTGCAAATGTTCCTGATGAGGTTAAGCCTATCAGACCACTCCTAACACAAGCAGACACTCAGTTCAACCCAGAAGCTCAGCACAATAGTTGGTGTTGGCATGTCTGTCTGCCATAGAATAGCTCCATGATTAGATCATTCACCCTGGGAGTGCAAGACCTTGGTTGCTGGTCCTCAGCCTGGGCTGAGTCAAGTTCTCTTTTTCTGGGAAAGGATGCAGCTGGGATAGGGTCATTGCAAATATTTCCTAATGAAACTGGTAGAAAAGAAATGCAGACTTAAGACTAGAATGAATATAAACAAGAGGGAATTTGATTGTAGCCCAAAGAAGAAAGAGTTTTGAACTCTGGTCTCGCTTCTTAAATCTGTAAATATCTTTCCAGTGCCAAATACAGAAGTAAGCACCTGGACAAGGGACTAGGAATCTGATATGGCTGCAAGAGATCTGCACCAAAGTCAAAGAACGTAAACAAACCAAGTATTTTGCAACTAGAAATCAGCTTCCAGCCCAGATCATGCAGATAACCAATTCCACTCTTAGCATATGTACTCACTGCAGCTCAAAAATGCAAAATCTGTTTCAAATCTCACTGCATTCTAAATAGTGGAAATGAGGAATGCATTTTGCCAAAAAGCAGTAGAAATGTCTCATCCTGGCCCACTCAAGGAATAGATAGAATCAGAAAAGAAGCAGGAGAACAAGGTGCAAGGTGAAAGAACTTGATGACTGCATTCTCCATCTCATAATCAAAGAGGAATGAATCCTGCTGCCTTAAACAAAAAGTGCTTAATACATGCTTCGTTGCGAGAAAGAAGTAAAATCCACAGCAATCCACATGATGCAAGTTTTCAGTGCACCAAACAGCAGCACTATATAGATCATAGGACGGATCATACAATGGAACTGATATGAAAATAATCACATATTTAAATTATATGCTTAAAAGCAAAATATGAAAGGACAGCTGGCTCACCTCACCACGATAGTTTGCTGCATTTATGGCCAGAAATTCTTCATTGTAGTTCTCAGAGAAGTTAAGAGCATTCACCAGATGAGCAGCAACATGTAAGACTAAGGAAAAAAAACTGAGTAAAGGTGAGGTCTGTAAACAAGATATGGATGTTCCCCTGAAGTGGTCACCCAGACGCCAAGCTGTAATCCCATTACCTGCATGAGGTACATCAGGGACTAAGGGATTATTTTCCTAAATCAGTTTATAAATATTCATGACAGAAAGCTGTGTGTCTTTTAAGGGTTCTTTTAAAGACTATAGCAATGATTTCCATGCTACAATGCTTCAGCTGAGAGACAATATTCAAAGGTGTCCACCCAAGAATATTCCCTCTTCACTAGATTGGGCAGTCGTCTCCACTGCTCCCTTCCCTACAGTTAAGCCAGTAGTACCCTGCTTCTTCAGTGTAATCCCCTAGGTACACAGAGTCACTTGTAATGGCAGATTTTGACCTGATCTAATATACCTATCCTTCCAGAAATTGGAATTTTAAGGAAAGGCTCAGCATTAGAATGTATGCCCATGTGTTTAAAGCAAAAATGAACCAAAACCCTCACACATCCGAGAAAGCATGTACAATTTAAGACAGGCAAGCACAGAGCAAGACTATCCCCAAATGTACTGCAGAAGAAAAGCCACAAAATAATGCTTCAACGTGCTTCCCAATCACGCTGTCACTCAGCACAGAAAGATCTCACCTGAAAAGATGCATATTGTAACACCACATGTCACATGGAAAGTTTTACTTTTGTCTAGCAGCCTTCTGGTTTTCTTGCTGGCAACCTAATAAGAGAAGAATTCAAGCAATCTCTTATAAAACAAAGCAAAGAAAAAGAATACTAACAGCAACTGCTGCCATATAATAGCAACTTCAGTTTTTGCACCCTTACAAACATAGTACCTAAATTTAAAAACTACTGGATTATGACAAAGAGATGATTTTGAGGATTTAATGAAGAAATTACACTCAGATCTGTATTACATAGATGTCAAGAGCACATAATGTACCTTCTGGCCTTAAAATTTAGGAATTCCACTAATTGTGTAGCATCACTGACTCTTTATCAGAGAAGTACAAAAGAAATGGTATATTTGCATACACATACACATCTATAGGCATCAAATTTTATAGGTATTGTCGCATGATGAACAGAGGTCACAGGTTCAATTTGCAACCATCCAGAAAATGTTCCCCAAAAGCATTACTTACATTTACGTAAAAGCAACCTGTGAATCACAAAGAAGCTAAACTATTGTTTACTGAATAGTGGTTCAGAAAACAAACCCTCTTAGATTTCACAGAAGTTTGTTTTTTCTTTTAATTTCCCATTATAATGAAGGCATCAGGTGGGGTATTTTTATTTAAAGTTCTATCATCTCCAGTAGGATGCTTATGGTCACGCAGAGACAACGTTTTGCTCTGTTGAATTCCACCAGGAAGCAGTAGAGAGGACACAGATGCCTCTAATATAACACTTCAGAAAAGCAGAGTGGCTACAGTTCATCTGGCTAGAGTTCAACAGCAGCTCTCCATCCTTCAAAAATGCACTGAAGAAACCATCCTCACAACAGGCCAAATCAAACCAGACAGTGTCAGCCGTGGCATTGCCCTCAAAGGAGTCATGGATTTCTGATACTTGCACCACATAAGCACATACTGTATAATAACCAGGAATATAACAGATTCTTTTTCTACTACCTTTCAACAGAGACCAGGGCCCTCTTCTCAACTGCAGCACTCTGAGAACAGTACTTACCTTCTGAGATCCCCGCAGGAAGGCCAAGATAACGCGGCACATTGGTAGAAGGACCAGGCAGCAGTTGAGATTGAGGACAGATGCTGAAGCTCTGCTAACACACAATCCTAGCTGAACAAATATTGCAAGAGTTAGATTACAGGGAGAAAGGAATAGCACATGTATCAGTATTCAATCTCTTTTTCTTTGCTGTGAAACCAAACAGTTCCCATGCTTTCTGACTCATCAGAATAGTGGAGTTTCATTATGTTTTATTGTACTGGAAAAACCACTGCACTTACAACATGCTAACCTGCTCTCACAGGGGAGAAAACAGCTCTTACCTTTGCATCAAAAAGCTACTAAAAATAATTCTGTCAACAATAAAGTCATCAAATGACAACTTTCTAATGAAAGAGCCAATATCCCCATCAGTGCTCAAAGTTGCAGGTAACAAAAATATCCAAGACAACAACAAGCATCCACTGAGAAATCACCTGAAAGCTTCAAACAACATAATTAAATAAAAAAGATCAATAAATACTATGAAGACGCTAGACAACCAACTCAGTTTAATGATTTTTCTGGTAAACAAGCCACAAAAAGTTGTAAAAAAATATCGATTCAGTCAAATCAAAATGATCATATTGTTTCAAGGACTGTTACAGAATTGTCACAGAACTCCTCATCCATTCACATTATGCAATGCCATATTTAGACCTAAAGAAAGTGAGTTTTCTTCACTTTAACTACTCAGTAGCTGGGAACTGTAATGAAATCTAATTTCACTAATGCTTTCACTGATATATTTGGAAGTTACATAATTAGAACAAAACCACATGTCAAATAAATGAACAAAGCACACATTCATGTCATAACCCTGTATTTTTAATCTTATTATATTATCTCATTCATTTATGATTTTAAAAAAAGTTAGCATAATGCCATTGTTCTCCTAGTTATAAGATTCAATTACCATTTACTATCTTATATAAAAGATGCTTTTAGAGTGTCAACAGATTTCTGGAAGGATATTTCTTACAATGTTCTCAAAACCCCAGGTTTTTAACTGCTGAAGAAATTAATAAAGTTTTTTAATATTAAAGATAACTCAAATACTGCAGTAGTATGTGAATGAATTGAACAGGTACCAATTAGCTAACAAAAATTACTAAAGATTTATTACTTTTTCAAAATATAACTTTATGTCAAAAAATTAGCATTTGTTATTTTCTCAGTCAAAAAAATTAATCCATGAAACGGCTATTATATTCAGATCTCTGTTATTGAGAGGAAACAAAATTGGAAAGAAACAAAGAGGTTTTATTTATTTGGAAATACATTTTTAAAAAATATTAAAGAAGTCTTGTAATTTCAAAATTTTTAATTAATGTTTTGGTTTTTTACAGACTTACATACATGTCACAGAAATGGATCAATATATAACCTAGTAAAAGCAAACAAAGCAACTGCACTTCAGAATACATTGCAAGATCTCAAGCACAATTGTACGACAGTTTATCAGTACCATAAAACATGGAACCTGCCTACTCCCACAGCTAGTAACATCCGTGTACCCCACCTTCTCTGCAGCACATTTAGGCACAGCACCAGCAGGCAAACAGAAGGTAATGATGTTCATGAAGCACCAAGCTCTTCACTTAAACCCACTCTCTACAACTCCCTGAAAGGAGGTTGTAGCCAGGTGGGGGTTGGTCTCTATCAGTAAGACAAGAGGGAATGGTCTTAAGCTCTGCCAGGGGAGGTTTAGTTTGAATATTAGGACAAAATTCTTTACAGAGAGGGTAATCAGGCATTGGAACGGGCTGCCCAGAGAGATCGTGGATTCTACATCCCTGCAGGTTTTTAGTGCCATAGTCTAGTAACTGAGGTGGTAGCAGATCAAGGGTTGGACCTGATGATCTCAGAGATCCTTTCCAGCCTGGCTGATTCTATGCTTCTATTTCTCTTCTGGCTACTTTACCATTACTTAGTTAGACCTGAGTGCTAGAGACCTCCTCACCAGACACTACCAGCTTCCATAGAACAAATCAGTCATAAGGGCACCTTCTCTCAAAGCTGCCTGTGAGAAGTAGGAGCAATTACCCCAAAAAAATGTGCTCTACCTTGTTCTCTCCCATGTAAATATAGAAAAAAATTCCAGGAACAGATTCCCTCTAACCTACAGAATGATAGAAAATAAGACTAAAATGACATAAGACTTGTCACAAAGTTTTTCCCACTCTCCAGATGTCCCCCACTATTTCTTCTAATGTATTGTTAGTCCTGTTTTTCCTTACATAAAATTTTTCTTGCTTCTCTTTCATCTTTTACTTCACTCTCTGTTCACATGCACAATGAGAAATTATTATTGCTACTCTTCCCCCACAAGCCATGTTCTTCAGACCTTAGATCATCCTCTCCTTCCTGCTCTGGACTCTCCCAGCTGGTCCATACACCAAGCATACTGACCAAAACTGAGCACCAGCTACAACAGCCACAACCTCAGTGACTAAGCTAAGATTTCACCAAATGCTGATGCCACTTCCCACTTTAAAGTATGATGAAAACAAAACCCACAACAGTGAATAACCACAAAAAATATATTTGTCTATCCTTGCCCACTAAAGTAGCTTCAAGTGACTTGTAAATATTTTTATTTATCTATATAAATAATATATTTTTATATTTTTATTTATATATATTTATATATATATTTATATTTATATGAGATAAAATGGCAGTACCCTTCAAATGACTGGAGTTAATGGCAAGTAAAATGTCTCTATAATGTGTTATTTGAATATACAAGACATAATGAAGATATATATGAATATATATCTTCATTAAATCCTCTAAAGGGAAGCTAAAAATGAGCTACACACTTCATGAAAGCAATAACTTCAAAAACATGGTCATTAAAAACATAAGCATTTTTATTAGAGCTTGCTTATGTACTACAGTATTTCAGTGATTACACGAGCATGACTTGAAAAACCTGAGAATTATGTAGAACTAATGTTGTGCAAATGCAAGCAATAAACTGAATAATTTGTGTAGCTCTTAACTAACACCCAAAAAGTGAAAAAAGGTAAAACAGTTTAAAAATTTTAATAATTTCTCTTGTATGACCTGTGTGATCCATCCTCAGTTTCTCAAGAATTTAGATTGTCTGAGTTTAAACAAACTAGGCATGACAACAGTTATCCAAGATTTCCTTTATCAGGCACCACAATTCTTTTCACAAAATCCCAACAAAACAGTCTAGTTTGGAATAGTCTAGAATCAAGACTGTATAGTGTTAAATAAACTAAATAGTTCCTGTGTAAGTTCAAGAAGCTCTTGAACAACACTCTCAGGCATATGGTCTGATTCTTGGGGTATCTTGTGCAGGGCCAAGAGCTGGACTCAACCTTGATGGGTCCCTTCCAACTCAGCGTATTCTAGGATTCTATGATTCTAAATAAAATACCAAACAATTTAACTGGTACAAAAAATATGAATCATCAATGAAGTGTACAAAAAGCTACCCTATTAACCTTCCTTTGGTTTTTGTTATCACTATTTAACAAATAGCAAATATTCATTCACAATGCAAATACTATTAATCCTAATTCAATGCTATCAGCACCTGTACAAAGGATTTAAAAAAAAAAAAAAAAAAGAGCAAGAACAGCAAACGACTTCAAATACACAGTGCACTTCTAGTAAAGTGTGATTCAACTATTGTTACCAATGATTAATGAAAGGTTTTATTCTGAACAAATAAAGTTGGGCAATGTTTGCTGCAACAAGCCCATGAACAATTTGAAAACAATAGTAAATATATTTAGCAATGCTTAGAACCAAAATTCACGCAAGACCAAGAAGAAAAACAGAGTACTAAGTTCACTCTTAATATATATGCAAAAGCTAAAAATATTGCCATGAAACTAATTCTTTCCAAATGGTTTCCAAGTGATCCCCTCCTTAACTTCCTTTGCATTGCCTGGGTGGCATAGTAACAAATTAACATAGTACATTGTTGGATTTTTAAACAATAGTAGAATAAAGGATGATTTTTGCTTTGAGGCAACTCACTGGCCTAGAAGGGAATATATATTCTTATTAATTAGCTAAGGAATGAGAGAAATACAATCCTCTTTTCTTCCTAAAGTTATTATTGTCTTAAGAAAAAGAAGAAAATAGAACTTATTCCATGTAACTAGTACATGACATTTCTGTATGATCAAAAGACAAAAAAATATCCCCAAAATCTCTGCTGGACACTCTTTTATCCAGTTTTACTTATACTGTATTTAAGAATTTGATCACCTCCTTCTCTACTCTGACTACCCAGTGCCCCCTACACTGTTATCCCATTTCACAGAAGGGCAAGGAGGCACAGAAAAACTGAATGATTACTCAAATTCACAGAGTAAATCTGTGGCAAGAATAGTAGGGAACTAGACCATCATCAAACTCAAACCCTAAAAGCTAGGCTAGACTTTTCCTCCAGACAACTGTAAAGCAATCTCCACCTTCTCCAAAGCAGCAGAACAGGCCTCCAGCATGTTAAGTTCTCCAGCTATCCCTATCTGACATACAGTCCCATAGAAATCCAGATACACTTTCGGCTACACTCACATCACATACAAAATAGGACAGAGAAGTAAGGAGTCAGATCTCTTTGGATTTTCTGTATGTTGCTAGCATCAAAGTAAGGGAAATGAGCTTTCCCTCTTAGTTAGGTAAATTATTTCAGTATTAGGTTGACAGGTATAGTAACTTACTGTGTGCCACAGAAATACCACAAAGTTTGTCAGTTATAAACACAGAGATGAAGGTTACTTGCAACTGCTGTGCACAGAAACCTAATGTTCGATACATAGTGGCAAAACATACAGGGAAGCAGAATACAGGGAGACTTCAACGAATCTGTCCTATCTCACTTTTTAAGCCCATCTTGTATGAAATAAATGGTAGAATACTGCAAATCCTTCCACACCTAAAAGTGATGTGATTCTGTTTTTCAAGACTTCACTACCTACAAGCAACAACCCTAACCTAAACAGGTCATGGTGCAGTAGACACACCACACTTAATACTCTCTCTGGAAGCCTTTCTTTGAAATTTTTCAATCTTTTGTGGTT